AATTCGTTGGTCAGCAAAGTATCACAATAATCGGATCCCAAGACTGGTTGGATGTGTGCGAGTCTAACATTGTGTTCATCGCAAACATTCCCATAGGATATCCCAAAACTGATTTCGTGTCTCATTTCGAGACTTACGGCAAAGTGTTGTCCACAAAGTTTGTCGACAGGACTGGTGTCTCATTTGCTTTCATTCATTTCGATTCGTATGCTTTGAATTCATTATTTAATTATTGATTAAATGTTTGATTCAATGATTTTGTTCCCAATTCTTACAGCAAAACAAGTGTTGAGACAATAATGAGCGCAACGACTGGTAATAATAATTTCTGTATAAATGGTCTTCACTTGAAAGTTGATAGATATAAGAGAAGAATACCTAACGTCTGATTTAAATGCATTCAAAACCAGTTTTTAATTCTTGAAATAATTACTAAATTATTAAAATGAAAAATAAATCTTATTTTTGTCTACATTTATTCAAACCTTAAATTACTTTTCTTTTTACATAAGTTTTAAAATGTATTTTTTATAATGAAAATAAACTTTAAATTACAAGTCTATCGAAAGTCCTGTTTATAAAACACCAGATTTTAAAGCAAAATTATAAATCACGAGAAAGTTTTACTTTGTTTTTGATTTCAAAAATCTAATGATTCGTTAAATAGTCTATTATTTGTGCCAAACATTAGGAAAAATTGAATCTTTTGTCTGAATTGTAATTTTAACTTATTACACGTAAAAACGTAAAAAATAATCATTGATTGAATGCATTATTCGCACGATTTATATATATTTATACTTTTCATTGTATTTGAATTCAAAAATAATTCAGTTATTTATTGACAAAATCTGAACACAAATTGTATTGAAAGACAATTGTTAGCCAAAAGTGAGACATAAAGTGGACTTCAGATTAGCTATGATTTAGTGTTGAGTTATTACAAGAGTTTTTGCACTAAAATCTCTGATTTGAGTCAATATTTCGGCGAAGACTCGACTCTTTTCGAAGACATCGGCAACACTTCCATCGCTTTCGGCAAACGAGAGATCGTTAAACAAATTGAGGACCACTTTTGGTCATCGGATCTCTCATTAGTCGCGTATAACATAAATATAGAGCAAAAGACTCTGACTGTCAGTCCGCAGACATGTCGTCCACTGGAATTAATCCGTTCGAAGACATGCACCAAATCTACGGCACACTGTATTTGGGCTGTTTTGAGGCCACACAAGACCGACAGGCGCTCATAGACTGCGGCATTCGTGGGATACTGACGGTTATGTGCGCTCCGGTGCCGCCATTTGAGAGATACAGGGATTTTAAGTATCACTATATAGAGGCCGACGATGTGACAGATCAGGATCTGTTGACCCGCTTTGTGGACGCGTACGACATCATCGGCACGTATACGCGGGCAAAGACAGGCGTTTTGGTGCACTGCGGCGCCGGTATCTCCAGATCGGCGACAATTGTGGTCTCATATCTGATGCGCGAACTCCGGATGACTCTCAAGGAGTCTATGGCTTTCGTCCGCACCAAACGTCCAATTATCAGACCCAACGATGGCTTTCAGCGACAGTTATCTCTATACGAGTGGATGGGCTGCAGATTGGATGGAAATGACCGCCGATTCCGACAATATCTGTTGAAAATGTTTGTGCCGTCCAATTGTCGCCAATTGAGTCAATACTTCGAGCGATTGCTTTATGTCGAGAACTCGACGGCGAATCTACGGTTGGGACCCAAGTTTGTGTGCAAACATTGTCACCAAAAGCTGTTCCACGAAATACATGTCCTTAAGAGCACGGACTCGACCACCGACTGGACCTGTGGTGACCTCTTTATTGAACCCCAAATCTGGATGTCTAATGCAATTCAATCGTTGGCAAAGTCTGTGGCAATCATAAAGTGCCAGAATTGTGTCAAAACTGTGGCCAAATGTCTGCGAAACCAAGAGGTCTGCAATTGCAGACACCATCAAAACGTCCACTTTCTTAAGATTAAATTATACGACCAGAAGTGGATTAAGGAAATGTGATCATCAATCGGTGGTCAAACAAAATGACTCAAAATCGCGCAAAAATTGTGCATTTTTTGCCTCAAATTATTTTAATTCTCTTACACTTTATATCCATTTAATTATATTTAGCTTTTGTTTTATGTATTAAAATGTAATTCAAACCAAAAAAAATAATTTTATAGTTTTGTATTAAAATTTACAATAAATACTAAATCTTAACGAAATAAAAACAAATATTTAATGAATTGAATTGAATATTAAATTTGCATATATTTAACAATAAATAATAAACATTTCACCAAAATCTGGTTTACAATTGGAAATACATTTATATAAAACTAATACAACATTCATATGAAAAGTTGTAATCAAAAAACACTAACAAAATTAAATTGATTGCAAATTTCAAAACTCTCGCGAATTAATTGCACTTATTTTGGAAAATATTTAAACTGTTTTATATAAACCTTGGATTCAGTGAAATATAGACTAAACGCCATAATTAGCGATGAATTATCTCATGTTTTTGCCACAACTATTATTGATGGCCACTTTGATCACCGATCGGTTCCCGTCGACCGACGCCAAGAGGACAATGGACTTCGGAGTGTGCGCTCTCGACCATCCCATCCATGGCTACCATAAGATCTATTGTCTGGAAGAGGATCGCCATTACTGTTGCTATTCGGGTGATCACACGGCGAAGACCACCGATCATCACCTCAAGGAGATCAACGGCACGGATGTCGGC